GAACTCAATAGCTTCTTTTAAACATTTAACATGAGCCTAACAACACAAAAGGAGGGAGGGTCGAGTTACTGACCAGCAAACATTGATGGTGTGGGCGATAACTTCAAACCACCCATGTTTGTGGAGCAGAACATTTTGTTTGCTTTCGGCTCTTTAGATTGATGAGACGACTAACCAGTAACACTGAGGTTGCTCTTATTCGCTTGCTACTTCTGTGGTTCATGTTTCCAAAACTATGCTGAGGTCGCTATTCTGTCGAGACACCTGCAACATTCTTACTCAGGCGCTAACAATATGACTTAGAGGTTGGCATTCAATAATAATAAAAAAAAACAGTTAGACAGTGCGAGGGTTTTTTTCATCAAAGTTTTATTTTTACAAACTCTACTCTTTCAACTAGAATTTCGATTTCAACGTACATAAATCCAGCTTCTTACTTCGACTTCTCTTCTATCCATCTGACACTGCACAACTCTTCCTTCTTTTTGCTGTACTCCTTTATCTGTGTGTTATATTCTTATATTCCCATAATTTACTTTAATTTAAGTGGTCAGTATGAATTTTATCTTGACTTACTACTGTATTGACTACTTCAACATGACAGGTTAAGTAGTGCTTTGGTTATATAAATACACTTGCCACACTGCTGCCTTTTTCTCTCTCTCTTCTCCTTTTCAGAACCCCATTCACGGTAGGAATCCTTGGCGAGTCTAGGGAACATGCACCCTATGTCCATAACTGTCTGGATCACAGCTCGTATCAAGCGCGTTCCATATGACCTTTCCCAACAAATTCACTATTGATCTCGGCAAATCGCTAAAAGAACCTATTGTGCATCTTCCTTCCTTATTTGTACTCTACTATTGAAAATTGGGCTGTATAATACTGTTTCTGTCAGTGACATGGTGTATCTATGCAATCAGAAACTGACTCTTATACTTAATTTAACTGCTATAACTTTTACAGTAATTGTAAAAGCATTTGTGACAATTTGATCTAGCCTGTAAACTGGCGTGTCTCTTGTAACTTAGTTATTTGAGAATAAATTATTATTATTATTATTAAGAGAAGACGACCAGTGTAGCAGCAGCCTCTGCAGCAGTAGGTCTCAACACACATAAAGGAAAAAGCAAGATTCTCCGATGCAACACAACATGCACCAACCAAATCACTCTTGATGGAGATGTCTTGGAGGACGTTAACACTTTTACATATCTTGGTAGCATCATCGACAACCAAGGTGGATCCGATGCAGATGTGAGGGCGCGGATTGGCAAAGCAAGGGCTGCATTTCTACAATTGAAAAATATCTGGAACTCTAAACAAATATCAATCAACACCAAAATCAGGATTTTCAATACAAATGTCAAGACAGTTCTACTGTATGGAGCGGAAATTCGGTGAACCACGAAAGCCATCATCCAGAAGATACAAGTGTTTATTAACAGTTGTCTACGCAAAATACTTCGGATTAGTTGGCCAGACACGATCAGCAACAACGTACTGTGCGAGAGAACAAACCAGATTGCAGTGGAGGAGGAAATGAGGAAGAAGCGGTGGAAGTGGATAGGACACACTACAAAAAGCACCTAACTGTGTCACGAGACAAGCCCTCACATGGAACCCTCAAGGTGAAAGGAAAAGAGGAAGGCCAAGGAACACATTACGCCGAGAAATAGAGAAAGATATGGGAGGAATGAACAAACATTGGACAGAACTGGAGAGGGAAGCCCAGGACAGAGTTGGTTGGAGAAAACTTGTGGGTGGCCTATGCTCCATTGGGGGTAACAGGCGTAAGTAAGTAAGTAAGTAAGTCACTATCTATCCTTGTTTTCCATGAAACCCCTACCTCTACGTCATACGGTCAGTGCCTCAGTAAGCTTGTCTCAAGTTATCTTGAGGGAAAGAGTTCCCAGCATAAAATTGGAAACTTAGCCGGAGTATCAAGCGTATGAGTGCTATCCTCAGTATGACTGGTTCATCGCCTTATCAACTGAAAAGAGTCCTAAGCAAACAAATTGTTCTGCCCCACAGACATGGGTCGATTGAAGTCACCGCCCTTATCATCAGTGTTTGCCGGTCAGTAATTCCACCATCTCTTCATTTGTAATGTTAGGTCCCCTGTTTACTCATTAAATCTGGCCTAAATTCTATTTATCACATTTTTTCGGAATACACTGTCGCTACTAGTTCCATGTTACAAGCAAAGCAAACAGCTTAAGCTTCAATGTATTTATTTATTTATCCATCTAGCAAATCACACTGATGTGAAGTAAACTGAAGATATGAATTAAAGGAAGGTGGTTAGTTCATCAGTAGTTTGGAGATTTGAAGGATAGATAGCTGATGGAAGAAGAAGAAGAAAGCAAGAGTTAAAGTTTTATTGAAAAAATTTTTGAACAGGTAATATATGAACCAGAGGGAAACTAACAATGATACAGGATAGTCTCAGTTTCTAGTGACTGATGATAGTTGAGCAGCATCTAAAGGCTTTTTGATTTATCTGTCTACTAGAAATAAAAACTAAAAGTATGTGGAAGAGAATATAACGATGTGACTTTAGATATTAAGGGATAGGAGCATAAAGGAGTGTCATACTACTGCTACCAAGAGTAGGGGAATCATGTGTCTATCTTTTGGTGATACTTGCGTAAATGGCGATGAGGGTACAATATATTCATCATTAGTTAATAGTTTCTAAGATAAGCCTAGGTATTAGGTGGGTCATGAAAAAGTGCCTTGGAATTAGAAAAGTTGATAAATCCCTTTGGATTTTAACAACGGTGTTACTAGTTTCTTGAACCTTGTGACTGTGTCACAGATACGGATAGGAAATTGGTAGCCTCTTCTACTATAAAATGTACAATGTTGTCAAGAAATTACAACGCAATGAATTTTTTGTGTTTTGGCGTTAGTGGTTTATATGAGTTTATTCAGAGTTGAAAGCAGTGTTGTGGTTCGCGAATGAGAGCCCACATGTTGCTTCAAAGAAATGCACTTAGCTCTTCATCTATCGATGGATATTTCTCCACGGCCTGCCAACCTTGGAGCGCATCACCTTTCTGATTTATGAAGTATATAGCTGTCAAATATGGCGACTTATTAGTTGTAATTTTTGACGGTCGACATATTTTGGCCGGGTAACTGCTCATTCCAAGGACTGCCCAATATTTGCACTACTGTTCGTAATCGTTTTCATTTATATTTTCCAGTAAGCTACCCTCCGTAACTGGAACAGGAAATAAACTGAGTGAATTTTGTCTAACCCTAATTCGTAGCGTTTCTGCCGTTTCCCTTTCTTACATTCACCCACCGCTCTGTACTATCAACAGATACTGGGGAGTTAGCGATTACTGACAGTTTCTTAAGTGTTTTGGTTCGAGTGACGATTACTTTTTTCACCTATTTGAGCTGGGAGAATTAGATTCATTTGGGCTGGTCCGTAGATTTTTTTCGGAATGTGACAATATTCACACTACAGTTTTATAACTGTGTGTAGAAACCCTCGTTTCAGCTTTATTTGACCCGTTCAGGGATTCACAGAGGTCGCACCAAATCACAGCTGAATAGAGACAAGATACTCGCACTCCATTCTCGGAGGAGGAGAAATCATGGATAAGATCAAAATCCATCACGAAGCTCTAAACGGCTTCAGCAAATGCTAGTCATGTGCATTCAATCTTTCCATGGCACGAGACAGATGGAAAACGTTGTGGGAAAGGAAGTACCCCGGTTTACATAAGCTTACTCGATTTCATAATAGCCTTCAAAACAATGCCCATCATACTATTAGTTGCGAGGGTTGCGAAAATCGGCTTCACTGATCCACTTCTACCGAGGCTCAGAAACTACCTTGTGAACAGAAAGTTTCGCAACAAGGCTGATAGAGTATTTGAAAGCTGGAGATTTTCACTGTCGGGAGTTTCGAAAGGGACTGTCCCTCTTCCTAATATTCATTATTCATCTGCTGAACAAAAGAAGGTCAATCGCATTGATCTGTGCAACGATGCCATGATCTGCAGGTCCATAAGAAGTGGAGAGGATTCGACAGAGCTATAAAAGGACCTTACATATGTGGAGGGGTAGACAGTGGAAAAGAAGTTAGAAGTGAACTAGTAGAAATGTCGAGTTATGAAAATTCCGCCCGAAGTGGCACAGACGACGTACACTCTCAATAGAAGTCCTCTCCCTAATGACTAATATGGGGGACGATGCCAAGGCCGACGAAACTCTCCACTTTAAGCATAGACAACTTGATGCTATCGCTCCAGAATCATTCTTGACGCCAACATTTCGAGGTTCACAACGTCACCGCAACACCCCTCTTCAAAAGAGATATAAATCTCTTGGAACGATTACAAAGACGAGCAAATATCATCTCTCTCTTCGACCAGTTGTTCCCTTTGCATATTTTGAGACTTTTTAGTTGTTATTATTGCTATTTCTGCAGATCACTAACTTAATCTATCTTGCTCATGGACTATTTCCTCTTCTTCCCCCACAGTTCTGTCCTCTCACACAATCTTCACTGCCAAATGACTAATTTATTTATTTACTTGGTTCTGAAATCTTCTCATTAGCATTAGAATTTTCTCCTTATTATTATCTGCCTTGTAACTAACTGATTTTCAGCCTGGTAAAGTGATAGGTGCTAGTATCCAGAAGCCCTACTGCCCTGAAACGAATGTATTCATTCAAATCTCGGGTAATACAATCTCAAAAACAACTGCTAACTGACTAGAATGGGGCAATCGACTGACTAGACCACCACCTAATGGAACCGCACTGAAAGAACAAGTATCGACCGCAAAGAAATCAACTAGCTTATGCTAACTCGTGAAGAAGATATTAGCGATTGGACATTGAGTGTTGGTTACCTTCCTTCAGTACTTTTATTACGTTGTGTTAAATACATATAATCAGCCAACTATTCAAAATCCCTACTTAGCGTGTTTTGTTCGGAGTATGTGGATTATGCATAATGGGCTTTCGTAATCATAATGTCTGATCCAATAATTAAATCCAAAGAGTCGAAGGATTTGATTGATTTTGATTGTAACTTTAACGATCCTACTAACAAGTTTTCGGAGATACAGTTAATGTTCGACCCCTTAATTCCGACATCTGTTACCTCAGATGAAAACGAAATAAATAATCTTAATTTCCTTACTTATCTTACGGAACCTTCCAGTAACTCAAATGAGTGCAAAATTGATCGTGATTCATCATTCGACTTGATATTCGATCATTCAGAAGAAGATTCAGTTAGATCTCAGCTCGTGAAACCAGATGAACTACTTCTATCCCACCCATTAAAGGATGCTGATAGTCTTCCTCAAAAAGATACTTTCGCTGTGTCAGATGAAGTTCTTCATTTAGCGTCAGTTGTGGATTTGAATGACGGTGACCATTCAGTAAAGCCCGAAGTTAGTGATTGTGAAATTTTTTATCTTTTACTCGTTTTGAGACATGATGGAAAAGTGTAACAAGCTCCAACTGTGGTTATAATTGTGTCAATAGTGGAGGTTGCGTGTAGTCACTTTCGTCAACTACTGTTCAAGGAACTTGATCAGCATAAAGGTCGGAGGACAGTTTAGTAAACTTTGCAGTAGACGTAAACACCCTGAACTTTGTAAGAATGACCGTGCTTGAATAATTTCGATGAATCGATTAGTTTCGGTTTTTTCATATTTGTTACCTCAAGTATAACATTCTCGTGTAAGAGGTCAGTCAATAATCGTTAGTTATTTGGAGTTTGTAGACATTTCAGTTTACAAATAACCCGCGAATAATTTTTACAAAAATGCTTCTTAGTCTGCCTTTATTAACTACTTTGTAATTTTCACCTTCATTCTGACTTTCAAGTCCTGATTACCATGTAGGAAGCATTGTCTGACGAGTATTTAACGAAATAATTAACTGATTTTACTACTACAATGCAGTTTCTCAGTATGATTTTAGTAAAACCTGTTACCATGAGATTTTTCAAATTTTTTAATCTTATGAATATTTGGTATTTCAGTGAACGGTAATAAAATGCAAAAGAAATTTTCCGAAATCCCCTCGGATTTCGATAACCGATTACCTAGAATCATTATTTTGCCAGATGTAGGAGATAAGGCGTACAAACTCACTTATCTTTTTGGACTGTAGTGTTGGCTTGATTGCAAACTAATAACTATGCGTCATCGTCAACGGTAACGTAGAATTTTGCACGTAAGTACAGCAGTTCCGTTGCCATACCACATTAATGCAAAGATATAATTGTCAATGCCAATCCCATAGTAGTAGATGTAGTAAAAGTATTAGAAGTAATCGGAAGGATTAGGATTTGAAGATGTTATTCATGAAGTATAATTCAGTGAGACAAACTTATAAAGAGAAAGATAAAGGTGATGATTAATTCAGAAGGTTGGAATTTTATAGAACACAGAGTAAATGCGCCTGCGGCATTACAAACGGTTTTAAGCCATGTCACTCAGGGTCTCTTACCATCAATTATTATCATTTCGCGGAACCCAACCAGCTAGTCGATACCTACCGACATCACTCAGTCCACTTGTCAGTGTCTACACGGATTTCTGCCATGTTTTGGTCTGGCCTAACCTGGCTTCCGTCCAAGCTATTCCTATATCGCAAAACAGCTCGACGAGGCAGTCGGTGGTTAGGCATACGTAACACATGTCCCAACCACCTGAAATGATAAAGTTTTAATACTTCGTCTATTGACTTATCACCCGTTTCTCAATAACGGCATTGCTTACTTGGCTGTCCCAGGATATTCGAGCAATGCTTCGGAGACACCTACGAATGTCTACTCTGACTAGCCATCGATATAGTAGGACGAAGCGAACTGCTGAGCAATACACTCGACCTTTCGTTAGCGAACGGATATCTCGCCTGCACAACAGGTGACACAGAATGGCAAAAGCCAATCGAGCTTTCTGTACCCTTTCCGAGATTTTGTCAGTCACCCGGCTATCAGCACTGATGAGACTCCCAAGATAAGTGAGGCGGTCAACACGCTCAACAGCTTCACTCCCTATCACTAGTTCAGGTACCGATGAAACCCAATTTTGAAGCAACATTTCGCATTTCGACGGGGAGAACCGCATCCCGAACATGCTTGCATTGTTGCTCAGGGTGGTCAAAAGACTCTGCATTTTGTCAGCGTCTTCACCAAGTAGGACTATGTCATCGGCATATTCTAAGTCAATGAGCGAGCCTCCTGGTAGAAGGTCTACTCCTGAAAATTCAGACGAGGATAAGGTTATATCTAGGAGAGTGTCTATGATAAAAGTAAACAAGAATGGAGAAAGTGGACATCCCTGACGGATACCACTTGAAGTAAAGAATTCGGGTGACAGTTCGCCATAAGCTCTCACTCGACTAGTGGCGTTCGAGTAGATAGCTTGTATGAGGTTAATGTAATTCTTTGGCACACCTTTCAATGACAGACACTGCTACAGAACCTCACAATCAACAGAGTCAAATGCCGCTTTTAGGTCCAGTAAGACAACGATTGTAGGACGCCTGAATGTGTGTCTGTGTTTCAGGACCTGTCGTAGTGTGAAGATGTGGTCTATACAACCACGTCCAGGTCGAAAACCAGCCTGGTTTTCTCGAGTCTGCTCTTCGCGAGCTCTAGTTAGGCGGCTCAGTATATTCGAGGATAACAATTTAGAAACTCTATTAGTTGGACTTATTCCCCTGTGATTGTCACAAGAAGACTTGTGTCCTTTCTTATAGATTGGGACAATCAGTGATTGAGATCAGTCGGATGGGATTACGTCCAATTGCCAGATTCTACCTAAGATCTCAGTCAGTCTAACTGTTAAAACTGGACTACCATCCCTAAACATCTCAGGGGTAAGCCTATTAGGACCTGCTGCTTTACCTCCCTTTAGATTTCTTATAGCTTGTAGATTAGGAGGACTTAAATCGATTTGTCATTCAGGATGACAGGAGATCGTGGGTAACCGAAGAGTGGCTCGAGGCCAGTTGAACTGATCCCTAAAGTGTTCTGCCCATCGATCTAGTCTCCTGGATTGAGAATATGTAATAGTCCCATCATTTTCCGAGATAGTCTCACACTAGGATACCTGAACTGATGTACTTATTTACGATGTTCTGCGTTGTATCTGTCTGTATGATTTACATGCCTGATATATATGTCTGCTTGAAATATAACGAATTTTCTAGGTTCTAAAGATAGACGCCTTGACTTACAAGCTGGGTGAAAAGAAAAAAGTTACTGAATCATATTGACCATTAAAGATAAAACTGACGTAAGTGCTTCTAAGATTCATTCACCATTATTGAATGGATATACATATCTAGACAATGTTTGTTATGAAAATGTAAGGTTAGTTGATAGCACTCTATTCCATCAGGAGTTCTTGTTATTTTGTATTTTAAAGTGAAATTGTGACGTTAGGTAAAATACCCCTGATTTTAAAGAATCTGCCACTTAGATCTAGTTTACTTTTCCAATTTGTTTATGTAGGTTTGCACCAGTTCAGTGGAAGTTGATTTGAATGAACATCAGGATTTGTTTTCCTTTTTCCAAACTGTTAGTCCATCGTGTCTTCGCAAAGATAACACAAATATTCTTAATACTACAACGATTCAGGAAAATGAATTGTCTCCAACAATAGAGTTGACTCATTTTATTGCTAACAGTCAACCTACAGATGAATTAAAACTATTTGTTAATTTTGTTCAAAGGTTAGTTTTTTTCCATCTGTGATTTGCTGTTTCAGCCTAAGAATTCTAGATTTTACTCTATTTATATTATTGAATAAAGCCGGTAATAACAGTAATAATGAAAATAGTAGTAATAGAACAATAAGACATTTGATTTTCATTGTGATTATCATCATAATATCACTAGTCTACTCGAAGTCGATGACTTTTCTCATTTTGATTTTTACAACAACTGAATATGTATGTACATTTATGTAGTCATAAAGATATTTATGACTATTTATATATTTAAGACCGATGTTTTTAAAAACAGTCGACAGTACGATATGTAATGTAACTCATTATGTAAAAGGAACTTTGTTTATTGAATGCAAACTACTAATTCAAAGACTGGAGGTACTAACAGGGTACTCATCTAGAAGTTTACGAAGTAAAATATAGATAGTTGAAGGTTAGGCGCTTCACTCGATAAGCTCTTTCGATGATAAGTGTTACCAAACCAAAATTGTGAGCAATTAAATCCGAATAAATTTTGTCCCACACAAGTCAAGTTGATCCTACTTTGGTGGATAAGTCAGTATGGCTTTTTACACACTTCTTTCAGTCCGCTACAACGTAGAACCTCATACGCACGTACGTCAGTTCAAGTTGCCGTACCACATTAACACAGACGCACTTGTCAATTCGAATCCCATAGTAGTAGATGTAGCAAAAGTATCAGCGGTAATGGAAGAGAATAGGGTTCAAAGATGTCATTCAAAAAGTATGATTCAGTGAAATACATTTAAAAAAAGAAAGATAGAGGTGATGAGGAATTCAGACGATTAGAACTTGAGAGAACACAAAGAGTGGATGCACTTACGCCATTGCAAACGATTTTGAGCCATGTCATTCAAAGTCTAACCATCGGTTACTAGGTAGTTATCAGGTAGTCTACATGTACCAACACGACTCAGTCCAGTTTTCAGTGACTTCATGGACGTGTGTCATCTTTTGGTTTGGCCACACCTAGCTTTCATCCACAGAACACCTACACCTACACCACGGAACATCGCGCATCGAACCAGTCGGTGGTTGGGCATACGTAGCACGTGTCCCAAGCATCTCAATTGATTACTACTCACTATTTCATCGATTGATCTGCCATCCTAGTGTAATTTTTTCCTGAATAAATTATAGCTGTACTCATTACCAATTAATTAACAGAGATATATTTCTTGAAATTTCTAGTGTTTTAAATAAATTGCAGCTACTTCTAAAATAATTTCCAGTGAAAGCTGATTGTTTTCATTTCATTTGAAATGTGATAAAGCTAATTTAATATAATTTAGTTATGAAACGGAGTTCTTAGTTTTTGACTAATTCAGATTTCCAATAATGCACACATATCGACTACTTGACGATGGAATTTACCAATTCTATTTGAACAGAGTAGAAGACTTATTACTGACTCTAATTTTGCATTTTATCAAGCGTGGTCATCAGAAAGGCAAAGAAATAGGAAAAATGCTCGCACATTAAAGGTAACTCTAAAGCTGATGATAAAAAGTGCCTTCAAATCGTACTGAACTGAAAAACTCTACTGATTAAGCAAAACAGAATTTTTTGATATTATCCAATAATTGTCCTTTTTTCATTTCCGTTAAATTATCTATCTAATCGCTGAAATGGATTATCGATTGAATTGCATGATTAATTTTGAAAAATATATTTGCCCTGTAATTAACACCAGCCTTACAATATATTGCACTACTACCATTGCTACTCTAGTCGACTACAATACTATTGATTATGTATTATAATTTTAGACAGTATTTTAATAGAATATTTTATTGTTTCATGTAAACTGATTGGCGAGTCACATATTTTTGAAAAAAAATAATCATTTCAAAATGTTTATAAAGTACATAATGGTATTGACAATGTATGTCTTAAACAGTTAGACTTAGTTCTTGATCTAAATACAACCAACATGAATTATGTGTTTATCACAGCGATAAATATTTGTTACATATGCACGATAATAGTCGTATTGTATTTTTGGTGGTTACCATCGATTTGATACTAAACAATGAACTGGTTAATAACGGATTAACCAAATTGTTTCTTAAATTCAAATGTCCCATTCTATTTTATCTGGCCGGCGTGCGGAAACAAAATATCTCGGAAAGCATATGCATCTTAGGTTCTTGCTGGAAATTCAGACCGTGTAATCATCTCATACTGTATTCTGAAACATATAATTACCAGCACTGTTGATTGGTCCTATTTTTGTTTTGAATAATAATTATTACATTATTTTCAGTCGAACGAAGTAGGATTACACTGATAGCAATCATGCTGACTAAAATACTGCTGTAGTACTGACTATTCACTGCACTCATTTAGATGGCCTAGTTTGAATGAAATTCCACCGTAGAAGAGAGTTTTTGTCATTAACTTATATTGACTGATGGAGTATAGAAAATCGAGAGGAACACCAAAGCGACGCTTTATACTGGTTTGTAACTCGTTTGCTTGATTTATTTTTCTGAGAAACAAAGGTAGTTCATCGAGTTACAGACTCATTACATGTTATAACAATAATTATAAGAAATCACAATAATCCAATGGACCAATATGTCTATTATGAGTAAAAAGGTGACTTCTGATTAACATAGTAAAAAAACGTTTAAACGAAACAGGATACAACATGTCTTTTCAGTAACTTTTAAACTAAAAGTTGGAGTACTCAAACAAATATTATTATTCAATAATCAATTTTTAAAAAACGATTCATAAATTATTCACGTACAAAACTTGTTTATCTTTTTGTTAGCGTTTTTGTGTGTATTTCTTACTGATGAACTTTATACTTCAAAATTCCATTATCTTAACTAAGCTAAGTGTAAATTCAACTTGTAAAACATATACCAAGATAAAAAAATATTACCTTTTCGACCTATGGAACCACATAAGCACTCTAATGTGATCTGTGTAATCACTACTGACTAGATTTGAGATAGATTTCAGTCAGAGTTAATGTAAGGTGTCTTGACTGTACCTGCTAGCTTTGATGGGGACATCCGACTTGCTTATTGTGATGGTCCATTAAAGCTATATTGTCTGGAACGCTCGTTCCGTTGTGTCACCATATCAGATGGGTTAGTTAGAGGGCATGAAGACTAAAAGAAACGAGCTCAAGGTCCAAGTGCAAATCTGTAAGGCTAGTGTGCAGAAGATAACAACAGTAAAGTAATACCTATGGTCAACCAACGACTGCAGGAATCTTGCCTTCTCGCAGAACTGCTCTATCTAAGTGGCAACAGCCTCCATACCTCTGAAAACATATGTCACTGGTTTTCGACCCAGTGTTGGATTCACTAATATGAGATGTAGGTTCAACATTTAATTCCGTGTGAACTTGTGGATATGTATTATTACGAAGTATCAATTCAGGGAGAAACCTTATCAAAGTCTTCACTGTTCCTTCAACTAATATCCAGTTCGTTATGAAATTTACCATACACATACAGATGCTTTGACAAGGGGCTTAAGCACTTAGAATGCTACATGTGTGTGACTAACTGGTTTGGAAATGCTCAACAAAACCATCATCTCACTTGATAATATATATTCATAGATTATTTAAATATTTTACAAGTATTTTTGACTCTTATCTGTCAACTGGATAATATTGTAGCATGTAGTGTGTGTTGGGGAAACTTCATAAATATCTTCAAATAGTTACAGTTCGGATTCCATGAATAGCTATGAATCAACACTGTTCCATACCGTAAAACTATAGTTGTAATAGTCAGTTAAATAAATCATTCTATAATGGTTCGGTTAAATTTAACTACATTTTAGAGAACCTCTATGGCACATTAAATACCATGGAATTCATTCTTTTTGATTTCACTCCGAACTTCATCTAATGCCTTACTCGATACATTATCCTATTATCAAAAGAAATTTATAAACACTTATTCAGTAAAAGTGACTTAGACTCTCTGAACTCTATCGGTATTTGTATTGAACTTAGACTGCACTGAACAAGAGTTATACACACTCATATCTAAACGATGGTGTTCTTACCATGCTTGTAATGTAATTGGGTTCAGTAGAATCAATGTTATTTAATTTCTTCAGTCAATCGTTTTTCAAATCAATAAACAATTTGAACAAAGGGAAAGCGTAAATTAATTATGTTTATTCTCATAATTAATCAATGTGTAAATATGTGGTATAAACCGTGTATGAGTAATACAGAGGAAGAAGTCGCAGATCTGTTGTACGCATGTTCACAAAACTGTTTGAAATTCTGATTTCATTATTTATCATCTAAATTCAAGTACTGTTATTATGAGTTTTGCTATGCTCAATCTGTACTACTACTATTAATGTTACTACAACAAGTATTTTAGATTAGAATAGTGATCGCAATGGTTTCATTATTAAGTCGATTACTATAGAAACCGTTTTATGTAAGCATCTGTTCCAAGTTCTTATGTAAAATTAGGTAAACAAGTGATCAATTTACATTGTGTACACTTTAAAATATGGAATTCATTAGAAAAAGATACCTGAATGAATTTCATATAAAATTCTTCTTTTCAATAAAATAAAAGACAATGAATCACACGTTTTCCTTTTCATTTCAATCATCTTATTTATTTGAAATCAACAATACTGTACGTCCACCATTATAGTTGTAAGGAATAAACACTAAGTGATCATGTTGTGTTTAATTTTACAGTAAGAAATGTTTTATAACCGAGTTTTCTAGATAATTCAGTAAAATTTAACTAGTGGTCACTAAAAACTTTCAGATACATGCATGTATAAATGGACAGCTTACTAATTCGTTCCAAGTAGAGACCGGTGTCGGACAAGGTTGCCCAATCTCAGCCCTACTCTTTTGCCTGGTATCGACGGGATTATGAAGACGGCAACATCTGGGGGAAAGCACGGAATACAATGGACAGCTCATGTGCAACTAGTCGATCTGGCTTTTTTATCCCACACGCAACAACAAATGC